AGCGATAAATCTATCAATATTGCAGAGTTATGTTTTCACACAAATATTAAGAACCGCATCAATATTCACACATACTGCTCACGCTTTCCTCACAACATTTACATCCTTTACATACCCTTTTTCTCCTGATTTTAAGGTCGTGCTCATATCGCGTCGGTTGATTTATGTCTTGCAATTATGCCACGCCTTCCATTGCCTGATATACTCATCTGTCTATGTTAACGTGAGCACCTCATTCGACATCCTTAGCACGAAAATAAATCTTTTACGAATCTAATACCTAAGCTCACGCGCTTCCGACAAGCTGTTCAAGATCGAGCATATACGGCCAATTACCACACTCACTGAGGTCATGCTCCTATATCCGCTTGTTTTCGCAATCAACGTTTAACGACTGCTGATTCTATCCTGCAACGTTGTTCAGGAAATTCAATTCACTCCTTAATTAGCGTATGTCAGCATTTTGTCCTTTATCGGCAGTTTTTCAATTCGCTCCAGCTGGAACTTACCGATGTGTGAAGTCTCTTCCTTTTTTTGTCTACTCAGTTCTATTCTGAATCGTAATTAGTAGCATTGTTTAGTCCTCACAAGCAAAATTTTGTACATAATTTTAGATAAGATATTTACCCCATTTTGCAGTGAAATATGAGCATCAAAATCTCCTGGATCGACCTTGTGAATTTTCTCCATCTTTTAAGACGACATCATCCTGGCCAACTCCACTTGAAATCTTTAGATAGCGATCTGACTACTCTTTTGCTCCCTATTTCCGTAATTCAGGAAATTATAGTTATCTGATTACATAGACTTTCAAGGGGAGATTTGCTGTCTTAAAGCTTAGATTTAAATCTGTGCTCTTTGTAGACTTTCCAATTTTTTCCTTTCTTTACACTTTGTTTCTCTGTTCAGTGCTTGAGCAGTTCTTCTTACTATAAAACTATCACTTAATGTTGGGCAAATCGCAATATGTAAACCTCTAGACAACTTCTTACGCACTCAAGAAGCAATTAATAAGCAAGTGCGAGGAAGTAAACGGAAGAGAGTAGTCTGCCTTTTCCTGTTGGCCAACTTTATATGCACTTTTTGGAGCTTCAACTTGCTTTCAAGTACATTCCGACAACTCACAATCTCAAGAATAACAGATGCTTTGGTTTCGAAATATGTGAAGTTCTTTTGAGAATCACATTGCTGGAGATTTGCAATCGATGATATTTTCCTGACTATATGATAACTTGAAAAAGGAACCGCATAATCAGGATTACTGATAAAACAATTTTAATGACATTTCTATGATGCCGCGGGGTTTTTGCTTGTCGAAAACTTGTGAAAATTTCATAAACATAGAATGCTAGACTCACAGGACGTGATTAATTTTTTTTCGTATTCATACTGTCATATAAGAGCTCCAGAGTTTGATGATTTGGTTTGCTTTGTTGGTGTGATCCGGTGGCCAATCCTTTTGCCCTCATTCGAATACATGTTACAGACTATGTTCTTGATGACATCGTCAACCACACCCTATGCTCTTGGCAGTTTTCAAGCTAGGGTGTCTTGTCTTAAAAACTCGCCATTGTTCT